GTCGAAACTGGAGGGAAGAATGGGCAAGTTTCCATTGTTGTACAGCTGCTTTGATAGAGTTGAAAAGATGTTTGCTTGCTTCTTCCTTCCCTTCTGTGCTTGAGCTGCATGCCCCCGCCATGGATTTTTGTACAACCCACAGCACTGCTGCCTACTGAAGGATTCATCTTGCTGGTTCTTGTGATAATTAACATTTAATTACCTTCTTCAATCCATGTATTAAATATTCACATATGTTAATTTTTCCTGTTATGTTGTGGCTTTTGGCAAATGTCCTTTTTGTTTTCCTTTTTACTTTCATACCTTCAGACATAAGCGGCGTGTCGCCTTGGAGTTAAATTCAAGGAGTTGCTGGGCAGGTTGAGGTATTGCTGTATGCATACCACAGTCTGGTGGATAGAATTGGATTTTGTTGTGATGTTTTTGGTTTACTCAGCATCATTCTGCAATTTGGCGTTTTCCAGGGCAGGGATTTTTTGACAGATGTGAGCTTTTTCTGCTTCAGTGTCTGCCTCTCCTGCCTTGTTTTGGTTTCCTGCTGTGCTGTAGCTGGGTTTCAAGTTGCCTGTCTCACTCCTTGTTCTTTAGCAGCTTGGTCACAGTATCCCAACTGAATTGATTATGTTTTGTACTTACATACTTAGATAAAGTACATAAAAGCTTTTGTTGTAAACATCCTGCCAAGTCACCAAGTTCCTCACCTCAGTCATCTGAATGACCTTTCATCGCTTTCTGCTCAGATCTTCCCAAAGTGAGCATGCTGGCTTTCCTCCTCCTGGAGGTGCAGCTACTTTGGAGCACTGTCCCAGAGTCAGCTTAAAACGTGAAAGGAAAAAGCTGTCCCCTTCCCCTTCCTTGTATTCATCTTTTATGGTAGCTGTGTTGAAGCCATAGGATCCCAGCAAGGAGCCCCAGCAGCTCTCCAGGCAGCCTGTACCAATGCTTGGTCACCAGCACAGTGAGGATGTATTCTGGTGGTCTGGAGAAGCTCCAGTGCTCTGTTTTGTCCTGTTCCTGGGTACCATTTGGCAGAGCCTGACCCTGTTCCTTCCAAGTGTTCCTAGACAGGTGGGATCCCCCAGTCCGGTTCCTCTCCCCCAGGCAGAGCAGCCCTGGCTCCCAGCTGTCCTGGCAGATGCTCCAGCCCTGTGTTCAGCCTCAAAGCCCTTTGGGCTCTGCTTGTGTGCCCGTCTCCCTGGTGCTGGGGCCTGGGACTGGACCTGGTGCTCGAGTTGTGCCCCTGTGTTGAGCAGGACAGGCAGGTGCTCCATTCCCCACTCACTGTCTGCCTCAGGAGTTTGGCTTCTCAGCGTTTGGAGGGGGAGGCTGCGGGCTGCCACTGCTCTGAACGCTCACTTAATTGTGTGGGGACTTGAGATCACAAAGAGCTCCTAGTGGGCTCCACAACAACTGTTTATTTTTTCATTTTTTCCTCAACACTTCCTCAGCTCGGTCTTTCTGTAAAATCCGGAGATTTCCAGCATGTGAAATTGCTTTAGCAGTCTTCACAGCTCCCTGGGGGAGCAACTTTTGTTTTCTCTCTTCCCTACTGTGACAGAAATGCTGCATGCATCCAAGATGCCGTATAAAAATAACCCAGCGGATTTCTTTCAGGCGTGCAGAGCGGAGTTCTGCAGGGCTCCCTTCGTGTCCTTGAAGTCTCTATCACCACTCTGCAGCTGAGGTGATGTGCTGACTGTACCAGCAGCCTTCCTTGGGCTGCGTCACAGGTTTCAGATGGGCTGAGAACGAACCCGAGGTGACTTAATCACTAGCAGTTGTATGGGCAGGCAGCGAGTACTGCCAGCACACCGATTTGCTTTGTTTTTCAGAGGGATGTCAATGCTTTGCTCCTGATGGAATCAAGAGATCAAGAATGGGGCACAAAGGTGGTACTGGCTGCCCAGGGGATGGCTGGTGGCAGTTGGAGCAGCGCCTGGAATTGTGGGGGGGAGCAGTTGAGGCAGTTGGATGTGGATGGTGCTGCGGTCGTGTTTGTGGTCCTGGTAGTGGGTTCCTGCCCCCAGCACTGACCTGAGGGTGGATTTTGGTGCTGGTTCCTAAGGGCTCGCAGGTGGATGTGAGGTCTGGATACAAGTGCTGTGTAAGTACAGTGTGGAAATCAGGGCTTTTGAGCCATGAAATGCATGATAGAGTAGGAACTGGTTCACTTCAGCGGGATCTGTGTTTGGTGCTGCGTAAATAGAGGCTTAGAACAGAACCACCTAACAGCCTCCCCAAAACGCTGAAGGTTCCTGGTCCAGAAGGAATACAGATTCCGTTAGGGAGATCTGGAATGGTTAAGAAAATGGCAGATCCAAATTACAGCCTTTCCAAAGTCGATTGAAGTAGTCTTACCTGCTGACTTTGTGCCTCTGTTGCCTGCTAGAGATGGAAACGTGTGGGAGAGGAAGCAGGCAAGAAGCTGTTTAACTCCGCAAAGTTTACATTCTCCTTTGGTTTGGATTACAGAATGAATGCTGGCCTTTGGATTGTGCTGCAGCAATAGTAATGTTACACTGAATTTCCTCTGAGAGATGACTTTTGGGTAGTGTAGAAAACCACCCTCCTAACTGGGGCTGCTGCAGCTGAGCCGGGCACGAAGCTGCACGGATGTGGATTTGTGTTTCCATGGGGTGTCCAGGTGTGCAGTGACACACAGGTGTAGGTGGATGTGCTGCTCACGCAGGTCTGAAGGACTCTGTAGGTGGCAGGAGCTGTTTTGTTGGGAGCAGGGTGACGTTTAGCTGTGTTGGTGCTGATAAAACAGTCCATGTCTGCAAAGGTACAAGGTACCACCTCTGCTCCATAAAAGGTTTTGTGTTTGGGTTATATAGCACGGTGTGAGCAGGTTGGAGCTGCTGTCTGCAGAGGAGTCTCCAGGTAATCATTGCCCTCAGGGAGTTCTCTGGCTGATTTCAGAGCTTAAAGCACCTTCTTGAAGCTTCTCATTTGACTGAAATGCCTTGCTGTTCTGGCTGGGGATGTGTGTGCAGCCGGTGATGGTAGGGAAACTTGTGCTGAGGACTGGGATTAAGTGACGGAAGAGAAGCAGAGCTGTGGCAGTGCAATGCTGTTAGCTGGTTCTCCTTGAACCTATTCCCTTCCTCTTCCTTCCACCCTGTTTCTAAGCCTGAAGGGAGAGCTTGATTTACGTGAAGCTGAGAAAAGTGTTAAGTCTCCTTTTAAAAATAGGTTTGGCTTAGCAGGGGTTTAATGTGCGACACTTGTTGCTTGCCTGAGCTGGGAAATGATGTTAGAAAGCACTTGTCACGATCACATCTCTGTGTGTTCTTAAAATGAATTTAAGTTATTTATTGCTTTGGTACAGTGTGTGCGAGGCAGGTGGTGTACTTGAACCTGCTTTAAACCAGTGAGCTGGATGGCTGCAGTGAGCTGCTGGCGGCTGTTTGTGGAGCTCTTTGCCCTGGATGTCTCTTCTAAAGAGAAAATGAGTTCCCATCCCATCAGTCTAATCTCGTTCGGTCTGTTTACAGTCTGTTTTGAGCATACACATCTGGTAGGCCTTGAGCTGTTCCTCTGATGAGTGAAATACCGTGTCTGTAATTGTCAGTGCTGCTGGTGGGCATCGCCTTGAAGCTGTGGGATCAGTGCAGTGCTATCAGCACAGTACGTGGCAGTCCTGGGCCTGAGCACGTGTGAGATAGGCCTTGGATTGGGAAGGACGCTTGTGAGAAGCAGTGGATGCGGCCGTGGTGTGTTGGGAAGCGGCAAATATGGATTTAACGACCAAGAAAATATTTTTTTCAGCCCATTTTCAAAGGGCAAGATGAAAAGTGCCCATTGCGAATGGAGCTCGAGGCTGCACTCAGTGTGTGGTTTTGTTTTACTGTGTGAAATGGGGGCAGATGACGTGTCTGGAGAAAGGCCGATTAGTGCAAGCTGAGTTGCTCCCCTTGGCAGTGAGGGATGCTGGAGTGGTTGCGTTCATTCAGGAACCTCCTGTGTGCTGCATACAACCAGATGGGACTTCAGATGGCTCTACTGCCAAAGCCCCACCTTGTTCACCCGGCTCTGCAGGCAGCACCTGGGGCTGCAGTGCTCTCCAGCTCTGCTGTGCTCGACCTGCTGTGTGCTGCACCAACAAAATGCATTCTAAGGGGATACACAAGTTCTGCAAGTTTTTTTTCGACTGCACTTTGCCAGCACGCAGCGTCTGCTAGGAGTAGTGGTTCAGAGTGGCAGGGAGTTGTGTCCTAAAGTGATAAGGCAGTTTTAATAGATCCCATCGAATAGTATTTTTGCAAATAAATGGAGCTTGGCCTGAATGAACTTTCTGCTGGGAAGCTCTTTTGGAAGTCATGGGAAGCCGATACTTCCTCCAGCGCACGCTAGAGCAGTCAGTTCATTTCAGTGGCTTGCCAGATGTCGGGCTACATTTGATTAGGAAATTGCCGTGAGGATAGATGCCGCGTGGTTGCTTTGTGCTGACCCAACGGTTGGGTTTCAGCCCGGGCAGGTTTGCAGCTCTCTCACAGCTCCTTGGTGCTGGAACTGATCCCGAGGCAGCTCCTCCAGGCCGGGCTCCAGCTGCGATTTATTTATTGGTAAGATCTTCTCTTAGATTTGCTGTGCAGGGCAGAAGTGCGCGCTGCTCCGTGCCGACCGCACAGCGCACCTTACGTGCCGCGCCGCACGGCCGCAGGTAAACGCTCGCTATTGAAAAGCAGAAAGGCCGATTTACGCGTACGATGAAGGCGAACGGGTTTTACCGAGCGGATGAATTCACGCGGGGGGAGGAGGGCAGGCTTTCCGGCAGAACGGCTCGAACGAGCCCCGCCGGACCGGAGCCCCGAGGTCCCGGCAGGCCGCCGCGCCGTGCGGGCGGTTCGGAGGGGCCGCGCTCCGCGCCGGGTTTTCCCCCTCGCCGCCCGCCGGGCCGCGCTCCGTGCCCGCCTCCTGCCGCTGCCGGGCGGGTGGCGGCGGGCCCGGGGGGACGAGGCTCGCTCCGCCGCCTCTCCGCTCCCGGCCCAGCTGCCTGCACGCCGGGCGGCCGGCGGAGGGGCCTCCTTTTGTTCGCCGCTCCTCGGGAGACGCCGCCGCCAGCGGGTGAGTGCCGGGGCGCGGCTGTGCCGAGGGGGGACCGCGGCTGCTTCGTCCCCGGAGGTTGCGCGGGGGGCTCCTTGCATTTGGGACCGTGCTGGTGTCCGGGCGTTGTTTTACCCTATGGGGAAAGTTGGGTCAACTCTGTGGCTGAGGAGTTCAGGATGCGTGCGGACCCTTTCGCTTCGCTTCTGTGTTGTAAATCCAGCAAGCAAAACGGATGTGCGGTGTTTAATTTCTTACTTGAAGCAGATGGGATAAGGAGATAGGGGCTGGGGCTGGCCCGGACGGAGCGCTCTCGCCCCACACAGAACGCCTTTGGAGCAGCAAAGCACCTCAGCCTGAGCTCCCCGTGCTGCTCCGTGCGGCTGCCGGGCTGCTGTGTGCCCACGGTGCTCCCCTGCGACGGCACCCGGGCCTGGTTGGAGCCCGACGTGAGGCAGCAGGGCTGGTTTGAGGGACTCTCAGATATCCAGCAGTGTTCCTTCTGGGAGCTGGAAGTAAACAGGACTTAAAGCCCGGCACACAGAGGAGCGCTATGCCGATGTAAAGCCATTAATCTGCAGGCAATTAGTTCCAGCCGCGCAGCCAGCTCGGTGTTTTTGTCAGTTTTTTTGTTCTTACAGACGACGGCGTATTTCAGGACTTAGAGAGCCTAGTAAATATCACAAGACAGACATTTCAGGCGCTTAGCAGCAAGTTGAGAAGCGTGTGGGAGCAGCGTTTAAAAGCCCTTATTTGTGTTTCCAGCCCTGTAATTTAGCAGCGTTTCAACTATTTTTGTCGAGCTCAGTGGGAGCAGCAGAAGGTGGCAGCGAGCTGTTGGATGTGGCTGTGCTGGGAGGGTTCCACCATTCCTCCCTCCTGCTGGGGAGCAGCGTTGCTCTGGTGCACGGTGAGGCTCGGGCTGCGTGCGAGCAGCTTTCCAGAGAAAGGCAGCGAAGAATTTATCTTTTCTTGTGGTTGGGATTTATGAATTGAGGCGAGGGCTGACGTCATGTATCCTCCCGCTTCCTTTGTGTGTGTGTGTGTGTGTGTGTGTGTGTGTGTGTGTGTGTGTGTGT